GCACATGCCCATTTGAGGTCGCTCGTGATCGTTCCTGCCTGGAATTCGGAGAGGGACTAAACCACACCTTTGCTCCAGAGCCCGTGACTTGTCCTGACGCAATTCAGCTACCTAGATCCCTTCAAAACTTGTGGTAGTCAGAGCCACGAGCTCTGAACATGAACGGTGCGGGGAAGATCCCGACAAAGTAGCTCTATGGAGTATTGCGGCACAGCAGCATAGCTGGAGGAGGAGATGGGTACGCAACCCTCTCATTTAATTGCCTTCAGATGGGCCGACATATCATGTTTGGAAGGCTCTTTGCAGCACTGCGAAAGCAGTCGAACTGTCTTTTTGTTCAGATATTGACCAGCAGTTGGCCGAGCTTGTAGCAACATCTTCCAGGGATTATGAATACTTCCTTGGTTATCAAGTTGGCACGGCTGAGAACACCGAGACGTCCAACCGATCTCCCCCTTCCAGAGCCTTGGATGCTATCAATTCTCCGCGAGTCCAAGCTATGCTGGGACGGACACCTTGCAGGATCTGATAATTCCTGCCCTTAGACATCGGCATAAGACGAAGGCGGATGAAGGAGTCACGTTCTGCTGATTTTGCGAAGCACAGAAATTGCAGGAGTACGTCCAACCCATGTTCCTGCCCCCTCCTCCCCGCGCCCACCCCCCCCCCCACCCAAACCCTTCAAGGTTTGACGCCTTCAGCTAGAATGCACTCGCCCGTGGCTTTTTGGCTTAGTTACCATGCCCTGTAACAGCAACGGAAGGCAGGACATGCGGGTGTTCCGCTTCGAGGTTGGCTATAGAGGCTTTCCATATCAACTCCATAACAAGCCAGCTTGGACCCGTGCATCTGTTGCACTCTCCTTTTTAAGATGCCGGCCGTAGTAGCAGTCGGCCTTATTGACGTCATGGTGGGAATGCCGCAGGCATTGCTTCATGACGGGATTCGTGCAGAGACCCTTGACTCGAAGTCCCTCCACCCCAAGTTACACAGTTCTTTCATATCCAAGGGTGTGACTCACCAGCCCTGCGCCCAAACCCCATTCAGCTTGCAAATTTGTTGAGCTTTTGGGTGTGTTCGGCATGGCTCAGGAACTCCTGACGGAAGGTTGAAGGAAGCAGTGCTCAAATGAAAGCACGCAGTGTGTTTTCGTCTCCAGTGCCATGCGCTCCGTACTGCGTCGCACACATGATTTGGAGGTTCCTGACACCACGCCCCACATGTGATGTGCAGCGCTGCGTCACAGCGGCAGTACCAGCGTGGAGGGTTGTCTTTTGCCGCAGAAAAGGAAGTTGCTGCATCCACACACGACTCACTTCCCAACCACCTGCAGCGCAGTGCCCAGCAGGTAAACAAGAACTGATTTTGTGCGTGTTGCAGCCCTAATCCTAATGTTGCCAGAAATCAACCTCGTGCAGTGGCAACCGTCACCCCGTTCTGTAGGGCAGTGCAAGAACCGCCCAAGTCGAGCTCGCCCGTCACCTGAGGCAGACTGAATGACCCAGCGATGAAGGCCACAACGTCCGAGCTAGCCAGGAGTGATTCAGAGGTTTCCGGACTCGGTCGTAGGTTGTGGATTTGGCTGGAAACCTCTCAGACTTGAACGAAAATATATTCGGAGCAGAAATCCAGAGACCATGCGTGCGAGGATGAAGGCAAAGCATTCCAGACGTTCCAGCAAGGCCATTAGTTAATTCGATCTAGGTTGGCGACTGGGCCCACCAGTGGATGATTTCTGTGCGTACGATCGAACCTCGAGGTCCAAGAACTTCGTTTCCGGATGCAAGGAGTTTCAGGAGTTTGGCCGCCAGAAATTCAGAACTGCATGAAGTGTTTGGGCTGCGCTCCGCACTTCGTTGTTCACGCGGTTCAATATGATCACGGGGTGCCAATAAAAGAGTTTGACTGGGGACACGACTGTAGAGCCGCAATTTTTGAAGGCTAAGCCTTTCAACTTCCTAAACGCATGTGGGAGTTCTTGACTGGGCTGGCCTTGAACACTCCTTGAACTATAGGCTAGACAAGTCCGAACCTGCAGCCAGGGCAGAATTCAAGTTCAGCACGTTTTCGGGAGGCTTGACTGGTTCACACATGGTGGAGAGAATCTTTGGAAGCGTGAACACCGCGGGCGGAAGGGCAGCTGCCACTGACCACAGTGGCTGGCATGCAGAACTCCGGAAGGGATGTCAGCGTGCTCCTGCATGATGAATAAAGGGAGCCTGCCTTCTGCTTGTAGTGTTCTACTCAGGTAGTTGTGACATGTAGATTTAGACCGGCAGGATGTTGTTTTGAGCCGGCATTCACAGTTGCAGTCTGGCGGGCTTGACTCGTGGGGCGTTACCCAGAAGGGTTTTTTCTGCATCTCTGCAGGATATCGGCTCCAGGCACGAAAGAGAGCCGCTCTGCACGAGTCCTAGGTTCACCACTATCAGCACATCCATGCTCCGCAGATTGAGCGCTTTTGAAGAAAAGCAAACCCTGGCGTTGGGCTGCAGTCGCCATGGCCATGGCTGCGTTCTCTGGCGATGTCTCGCGTGCAGCCGGGCGTCTCCAGGGCAGCATGCCAGGCCTTCCGGACTTCCGGTCTCGGGCAATATGCGATTACTTTTTACTTTACTTTAAGTCTTTCAGTCCATGACAGGCACAGCTTTTGCAGCCTTGACTCTCTCGTGAAGTTCCCTGTGCATGGCGCCCGGACTCCGTGCCGGAGTCAGGGAGTGTTCTCACTCCAAGAATATCTCTGCAACATCACCTCACCTGCAAAATCGATGCCGCATGCGTACTTGTGAATGCACGTTCGACAAACAAGGCAACAGAAAACCGAACGTAAGCTGCTTGTGATTTACGCGAAGTTCGGCTCCGCAGGAGAAGCCGAGGCCGAGTCCGAGCCAGGCCTTGCCACTCTGCTGAAAGGACAGTCGTGTGGTGGGTCAACATCAAGGGCTGCAGGCCTTCAGCCTTACGGCTTCCGAAAAAAAGCGGTGTCTTCCGGGCCAAACTGTAGCACATGTGCGGCATTCGAGCAGGGCTCCAAGGCCCGCCCGCCGATGCGCCCCCGATCTAAACATCACACGAGCTGCCAAGGTCTTCCTGCCAGCGCTCGGCTCAATGGCAGCGGAGCCTAGAACTGGCATCTCGCTGCAACTCAAAGACGCTCCGTGGTGCAAAGATGTCGAGCTTGCTGCGAAACCAAGAAGCTACAGTCACACCAAGCGAAGCCTCTGCGTCACCACTCATCTCCAGCAGAGGTCCGGCAGATGCGCTCCGACCGACATCGAACCTCGCCATGCTCTTTTTTCCGTCCGAAGCCTTACGTAGCAGTTCGTACTTAGGACCGAGTATTGAAGACTGCAGAGGAAGTTTGAGAAAAGCACCTTATTTCGATGACTGCAGGACCTTGAACGCAAGGCCATCGTGCCGGGATTCATGTTAAATGTGTTGAGTCGTCCAAGCTTCAAAGCCGAAGTTGTCCATCATGACCACGAGCTTGGATCATGGCTTCCAGGAGATATCAAAGCCGACCGGCGTTCCCACAGTAGCCCGAATTCTGAGTCCTAGGTATTTTGACCACGGAGACAAAGAACAGGATTTCTTTCGGCGTGTGGTAGCTCGTCATCCGCCAGTGGCTCTTAAGAGTGAGACTGGACTTCAGAGGACTGGATGTCATCGGACTGAACAAAGCCATCAGCGCTTGCGAGAAGCTTGCCTTGTCTGGAGGGAAGGAAGTCGAGGGCTCAACTCTTTTGCGAGGCTCAGGGCGAGACAACGCAAGTGGCAAGTTTCAAACAGTGTCTTGGCATTCTGCCGCTGACATGTCACACCGTGCAACGACACATTAGTGACAATCCTGTAAGCACATTCATCACGCGAGTCCTAAGATCGGAACCCGGACCAAAGGCGAGGGCGCAGTTGGCAAGCAGGACTGGCATTGCTTGTGGCAACACCAGTTCTCCCGGATGCCATCAGCCGCTGCGAAGTGAATTCTTAGTCGAGGGCGATTCTGTACGGGGAAGCGGAAGCTGTGAATATATGGTGCCGAGTCGCCGCGTCGCAGGCCCCCCCCCCCCCCCCCCCCCCCCCCCACCCCCATGGTATGCCCCCCCCCCGGAAGCCAGGCGTCTCGTCCAATCAAACAGTCACACGTCATCCGCGTAACTCCCCCCCCAAGCCAGGCCTCGCCTCTCGCCTTGGCAATCGGGGGTGGGTGCGGGAGGGATAACCCACAATAGTGGAACCACAAGACGGCGAACCACAGGGGCGGGGTGGGGAAGGAAAATCAACACAGGAAACAACCGGGCCCCTTCCCTTCCCCTCTCTTCGAGCACAAATGAGAATGTTGTGCGCGATGATGTTGATGTGCTAGTCCCAGTGTGGCTATTGGTGGTACCTTTGCTCTTATGTTGCTCCATATCGACCGTTGTCATTCCAAGCCAAGTTTCGGTTGGGTTCGCTACAAGTAAGCTTGGACATATTCATCACTATCATTGGCTTTGGAGCTCAGGGCAGGTCGGAGTTCAATAGAACTGTATCACATCCTACGGTCCAAACCCTTAGCAACCGGACGCATAGCCATGGACGGGGGCGCAGCCGACCGCAACCACAGGGGGGAGGGGCAGGGGGGAACCCACACCACAGGGAACCACAGAGGGGGAGGGGGGGATACCACGGGGGGGGGGGGGGGGGGGGGGGGGCTAGCAGCGCTGCACCATATATTGAAGTTTCTGCTCCAGGCGGATTCAGGCGGAGGTAGACTCAGACACTGAGCCGATGAAGGTAGACTCAGACACTGAGCCGATGAATACTCGGCCCTGGTTCGCCGGGCTGCGTGTTGACTCGCCTTTTGGTGTTCTTGTGTCTCGTTTCAGACCACGATGTGCAGCATGCTGGAACCATACAGAGTGCGAGTGCTGCAGTGCTCAAGTGCAGCTGCAGGCTACAATACAGCTGCAAGTGCTGCCAACCGTGGCGAATGGCCAGTTGGCCAGCTGCTCCTGAAGGAGATGGCTGACCCTTGGCAGGGACAAGACTGGTCCAGTTGGGTTTGGGCCCGATTCCTTGAAACAGTCCAATGTTGGGTTTGAGCTTTCCGACCCAAAGCTCCTGGGATCAAGTTGTCAACAGGCGTGCTTCAATGCATTTTCCACTTTACATAGGCCGCTTGTCCTGCTGTCTGCAGACCAGGGAATATCGGGAAGATGCTTCATGAACTCTGATCTGTTTGCTTGAAGCAGAAGCTCATGGGCCGTGTCGTTCTACTCTAGTTGCCGCTACTGGATTGCCAGCCATTTGGAAACAGGGCATGGTGGGAGCTTTAATCACGCGGTTTCCATAAATATCTTTGGCTGCCTCAACACCTGAAGTATCATGCCGTAGTTCATTAGCAGTGGTGCGGCACTTCCTGCAGTCTTGACATTGCGCCCAGGACGGCAATCTACGGCCTGACCTCATCAGTTACAATTCATCCTTGGCTGGCTGCCTGCGGGGAATCTTGCACGCAAGCATTGAATCTATAGATTTCGGCACGCGCCTTTGCAGGTTCCGCTGGGTCCCTGGATTTGGATACTTCAGGAAGCGAAGCTTCAATGCTTCCATTGGGTTCAGTTTCCGAGAGTAGGCCCGACCAACCGATTCGCTTTCCTTGTGGCTGCTCGCAACCCTTACGCTTCGCCCCTTCATGCGACCATGGCCGACGTGCAAGGCAGCCGTTGGGTCGCAGCTTTAGATCATCTCCCCGACCTGGCACAGCAGGCGTTGCGCCTCAGCTGCCGAGTATCACGTGTCGCCGATTGATTTGCATCCTTTGCTTCTTTCACGTTCTTCGGTACGAGGACTGCCAGACCTGGCATCGCTTGGGCGGTCATCCAGGGCAGAGCGGAATTTCAACCTTTGCACACAGTCAGAAGTAAACGTGTCAGCAGAGTTCTCTTGCCGCCACTCAAAATGTTAGGACACAAGGATCAGAAGGAGAATCGTTGCCGCCAAATCCCAGTCTTGCCTTGCCCAATCTTGCCCACAGAGTAAGGCTGCCAGACGTGGTTTCTGCCACCCTTATCTCAGACACGCTCCGGTCTTCACCTCAATGGCGCGGCTTGCTTTCAAAGACGCGTTACAGGTTACGGATGCCACTGAAAAGCAGACCTTTGCTTCAACATACTTCATGCGCCGTGCTCTTTCAAAGGCGGAAACAGGCTTGAATACGCGCTTGATGTCTTCCTTGACTGGAGCAGACGCCGACCAGGTCGCAGCATCAGCTGCTTGGAGTCGCTGTCCGCGGCGCGAGTGAGGCATTTGCCCATCGAAGTCGGTTTTGAGTAGCATCGTTTAGTCCGTGAGCTGGGCCCCACAAGCATCGGTTCATGGACACCACAAACACACTGCCCCATACGTCTTCCATCTTCCGGGTGCTGCCCAGTCAAAAAGACGATGCAGCTGAGCACATGCAACATGAGCATCAGACATCATGTCCTCAAGAGACCAACTGCTGAAGCCCGATTTGACAATAAAGCTATAGAAACGAGAGGTTTCAGGCAGTCGTGCAGCCGGTCCAGGCAAGACGTGATCTGCCTTTCTGCCACCATTGGTGTCGTCGGCGAGTCGTCCCAGTGGGCTGCAGTAAGCGTCACTTTGCAGCGGACGGGCTTGTTGCAGTGGAGTATTTGTTCAGAGCTGCGATGGACGAGCTCACATCTCATTCTCTCTCTCTCTCTCTCTCGCGGTCTCTCTCTCTCTCTCTCTCTCTCTCTCCCTCTCTCATTGCCCACATTCTTGGCCGCATATGTTATTGGTACGGGAAGTTGTGTTCAGAAATTTGGCTCAGTAGCGAGTCGTGGTGTTAGAAACTCCGAGGTTCAAGGAGTTTGGGTTCTATCGTTGGTTGGTTGGTTGGTTGAAGACGTGGCATATGCCACGCTGGCCCTGCGGCCCAAAGCAATGTACTGGTACCCTGCTTTGCGCAGTGAGTCGCTTTCACTTGCCTTTTCTTTGTCGGACAACTCACCAGTCACCAGTCCAATGAGCCAGCGGCCAACGTGCAGAAATCTTGACAAAACGACGAAGCGCTCGCGCCACGCGTAGCAGCAACAGGTATGTTGTGATTGGTTAAACGCGAGTCGCCTGTGAGTGCTGCCGGTCCGAAAGCCTTACGGGATCTTGCGGGCATGGCAGAGCGCGAGTGATGTATGTGACTTGCTAAGAAGTGATTTCTGTCTGTATTGTCTGTAATGGCTTCTACACCACATTGAGGCTGCTGTGCGAGACATGCGCCAGAGATCCCTGCGACTGGTTTGCAGTTGGGATCCTGTCCCTGTCCCTGTCCCTCGGAAGTTTTTCTGGTCGAGTTAAGGTTTCCTTGGCTTTCTTACGGCCGGAGCAAGGCTCTCATTGTTCTACTGGGTGGCCTTTTTCATATCAATAGCGCATCCGCCATTGATCGGATGGTGTCGCTACATGCTGACAGCCAGCTGCCCACTTCTAAAAGGGACATATCCTCTTGACAAGCATGCTTTTATTGCATGACGCCCGGCACTTCAGGTCTGCAGATGAGTTCACACTCACATGTTCCATGAGAAGCTTCCAGCGAAGTTCGGTTTGGTCGTGGACCCTGGACGTCCTTCGCACGATGGTGCACTTTGCCTGACGTTTGGAATTGCTAAGCCTGGCTCGACAGTGCAACGGTGCAGAGAGAGATCTTAACTGTCACAGCAGCCCCATCCTGTCTTTCCAGCCGGCTTCTGTGTGTGCGGCAAGCCAGCGCATCCAAAGCCGTCATCGTGGAACAACAGCAACCAGCAAGGCTTGGCGAGCTCCGACCGGATGCAGTCGCAGTGGCTTGCGCCGGCACACCTCTTTGGTTTGAGCCTTGCATCTTATGACCTCATCGGGGCGAGATTTTTGCGATTTGGACCCTCATGCTTTTGTGCACACTGCCTTTGATGCTGGAGTTTCACTGAGCAGTTGCCGTCGCCTTTACTGAACGGCCCGCCAATCTGCCACTTTTGTGTTTGTGGTTTGTGGTACTTGAGGAGCAGCTCGCCTTGCTCTCGTGCATGGAGGCTGGATTCGCGCAAATGCCGAGCCACAAATTTTCCCAAGCGGACAGGTCGTCGTCAGGTAATATTTTGCGTTCATCGGAGCATCACGAATGGCCCAGCCCAAAAATGGTGCTTTCCTATGTAGCGTCAGTCCGGTTTATATGCTGGGAACTTCCCCGCTTCTGAAGACCACGAGAGTCACGAGAGAGTGAATGGAAGATATGTGCGACCATAGAGCATTGCTGGAACCGGCCTGCATCATGACAGATGAGTCACATGACACACGGGGGATATGACATTGAAGGTGTTTTTGTAGTGCGAGGCCTGTTAGATTTTCCACCCATTTTCGAAAGCAGGCTCGGAATAATTCTACTCACTTTGCAAAGGCCGAGGCCATCCATCCTGATGCCCCTGCACTGACGAACTGCTTGCGGCTGTGCAGCTGGCCTCGGAAAGTGAGTTGCCAGTGAACTACGATCCACAGCCTGTTCAGTTGGACCATGTTTGAGCCTGTTCAATATTTGAGTAGATCGGTTTTAGATCAATGTGCCTGAATCTTGCGGCAGGTAGCAGGGACATCTCGGCCAATTTCAACTGGCTAGTGTAAATGGTTCTCGGGTACGCAGAAGAAGCCAGTCCGAAGCGCGACTCCGAAATCCGAAGCCCGAGCCGTTCTCCTAAATACTTGAAGTCTCAAAGTCCAAGGCGGCCCACACGAATGGCCCGTCGCCATGAAGCTACTGAGAAGGCCAAGGGGGCATCGAAACAACGCAAATATAGTTGGGCAAAAGACCGCCTTCCGCGAAACCGCCTTTCAAAGCCAGGACATGCTTGCACATTCCAATGACTGGTTTGAGTGCTCAGTCGCTTAGAGGTCATACCTCAACCTGATGCAAATCTTACAAAGGTCACACTGTCTGAGTCGCTTCACAAGTGGATTCCTGCAACGGTTGCTCTTGCCTTTCCGACCAGACGGAAGTCGCTGGTCGACCAGTCACTGGACAGCAGGAAGAACATAATCGCTCGAAATCGTGTCCCAGAACAGCACATTCGGGGGCTTCCGGTGTTGGGCTCCAATTCCTGGTAAGTTGTCCTGGACTGCTCTGTTTCCGTTCGATGGAGCTGGCAGACGCTTCACCGTAGTGTACGATACTTTCAACCCCCCCGCTACGTGACACATCTTGATAAGGATCAGCTTGGGCGCGCTCCTGGCATCTTTGGCCAAAAGCATCTGATTCTGCAGCTGAAGACTTGACAGGGCTTTTCCAAAGTAGTGAAAAGACTGCTGCAGGATCTTCAGGCGCATTGGTAGCAATGCGGGCTGGCCCTTATGAAAATCCTGTGGCCGAGGAATGAGTTCTCAAGGCAGAGTTACACCGGCAGAATGTTCATCGATGCTAAGGCAGCCAGTGGCAGCTGGCAATTGACCTGCTTCTGCAGTTTCCAGTAGCTTACCTCCAGCATTGAGATTCGTGGGGATGCAAAGAGCTGTTGGAAATGCTGTTGGTGGCACTGAGCCATACAGGCCAATACCATAGGTGAGCGCCGGTGAGCGCCGTTGAGCATCTGAGAAGTATGATCGTGAATTGATCCATGCAAGATGCTTCAGATCTCAGGCGTACCAACTGCAACCAGACGAAGTGAGCTTCAACAGCGCTGTAGAGGCTTGCGAGAAGGCTGACGGCACATGACGGCAGCATGCTTTTGACTTTGAGGATGGCATACGGTAGCCTTGCACACATCCATTCCAAGATCATACTCCGCTTGCACGCCAAGCCCAGTCATCTGAGTCCGCCTCTTATGGTTCATGATGGTTCATGCATATGTTACCCGTCCTCAATTTGGAAGGGGCTCAAGGTTGTATGACCTCCAGGGCGCTTTGGGGCCCTTGCACTTGCCGACTTGCTCTGTCAACATCAGGCAGCTACGACGTCCCCGAGGAATCGAACCGATATGCTGGAGCCAGCGAACAGTGGGGGAACCGCAGCCTTTGCAAGGCGAGCCAGTGGATGACGACGCTGGCGCTGATGCATGAAATGGAGCAGGCGGAGGTGCGCAGGGATTCTTTTGCTGGACGATTGCTGATGCGTCGTCCATCGTAGAATCGCCCCCGTCGCACGCTGTACAGGGCTTCGGGCAGACTCGAGGGATTAACACCAGAATGACGAATGCTCTCGCTTGCTGCGTCTCCTCATGCCAGATTCCCAAGCATCGCCGTTTGGCATTTGCGTAGATGGTTGCCCGCAGATTCTGGAATCCTGTTGCCTTCAACAATGCTGTGTGCAGAAACTCATTTGGATGCCGGTCAAGAGCAAGCAAGTGCCACGAGGAAAGTAATGCTATTCCTGCTATGCAATTCCCTGGCGCAGGTCCTCGCAGGTGCTTCTTGCAAGCATGATGGGCGGTCGGCTCGCACCGTCCTGCTGTACACCGTAGTGCACACTCAATTACCGATACTCAGTGCCATACTCTTACCCTCACGCAGAAATGCGCGCACACACACACACATACGTTCCTGACACCATCCTTTACGCGATCTAAGGCAATCACATACAGCAGCGCCATCAAGGCTTGCAGCGCTAGCCTCAGCACAGTTCTTCAGAGCAGACGCAGCATCATGCAGCGGCGCTTGTTCGAAAAGAGACACCACAACAGACTTTGCAGATATGTTTGTGCCCCCGACTTTGTGCGGTAGCACTGGGCATTGCTTCGTGTTGGCTCAGCAACTGACCGGAGTCGCCTGTCTTCGGTTCCGGCCGGAGATGTGAAAGGCGATGAACTTTTGTGAAATCTGATACGGTGGAACAGTTACAGTTAGTTGCAAAATTGTTGCATGGGCTTCGTGCTGCGAGCTCTTTGTTAGCGGAACGTGTGGAGCTGAGCTTCTCATGCGAAGACCAGCACTCAGCTCAGGTAATTGCAGCCTGTGGCAGCACGGAGTGAGGCTCCTGGCTCTCATGAAGGTGAGGGGATGCGAGGGTTCCTTCAGTGAGTCACAGCCCGCCGCAGCCCGCGGTTGGTCCTTCTGCACAAACCCGCCAGAGGTTAATCTCCTTGAGCCCAGGATTCGGGGGCTCGGTCGAGTCGATTCCAGCCTCCGGTCCGTCTCATGCCGCAGATTGTCGCAGGAGCAGGCTCTACCTCCCGACACCGTTTGCTTCAACAGTGCTTTAAGCTCCCGAGGCAAGGAGGCTTGTGCTTGAGACAGTCTTTCTCAATACGGCTGGGATGGGTGGTGTTAGACTGATAGAGCACATCTATCCTGATCTTCAGGCCAGCATTTGAGAATGTTTGGGATTGGACTTGGAAGTGGATATCTCACTCTGCGTCTCTGGGTGCAGTCCCCACACCAGTGTGTGAAGTCCACGGCCCGGATGTTTGGAAATCCTGCATCACAACTCCCAGTTCTATTTTTAAGCATGGCTGGCAAGAGTTGTTTCCAGCATCGTTATTTTTGGCCGGGGCGCCATGCGCCGGAACATAACTTGGAAAGTTTGTGTTGGAGGTGCCAGAGTGGACAGTAATTATATCTTTGCACAAGGACCGGATCAAATTCAGCCGGAAGGCTTGCCAGAGGTATAGATCTGCAGCTCAACGAGGCTTTGGACACAGGGCGGGCAGCCCCGTTTTTGTCAGGTCGGCGCAGGTCACGATATGCGGGGTTGTCATGAACAAAGCTGCAGGCTTTTAGCCAAAGTTGCACTTGACTTGAGCATGGGTTCTCGGCATCTGTGAAACACGTTGTAGGTGCTGCTTTGCGCGAGTCGCTGGAGCCGGTGGAACTCGATTCGATGTCTTGGCCGCAGTCGCTCAATGTGCTCACCGCAATGGCCACAGGCGCACCAACTGTTTTGGCTTGCATATAGGCGCCGTCGGCGCCGTGTTGTGAATCAGGCAGCGGTGCATGAACAGCGGCGGACCTCGATTTCTTTGCTTTCCCAACCCATTCGGATCGTTTAGCACGCAGCTAGAGCATCATCAGGAGCATGAAACTAAATCTATCCATGTTCCGGCGACCGAATTATTCATTGTTTTTGAAAGTTGTGCTACAGGTTCTGCCTGCTGCTTCCAGCTTGAGCTCCGAAGTTTGTCTCCGGTTGAGGCAGAGCACTTCCGGACATGGTCAGCTTCAACACAGCCGTTGTCCACTGTCCCGTGGTTGCAACAGTTCGATTCGCAAAGGGGCCGCAAAAATCGTTCAGGCAGCCTTGGCGCGATGGTCGCAAAGATGTCTGTTGAGCTAGGCACACAGTCGCTGTCCATCTTGGTTTTCTGAATTTTCATGCTCCAGGTCCCAGCACATCTCTAGTTACTCTAGTTGTGGCTTCCAGCTTGAAATGGTTGAGATATGGAGAAGTTTAAGTACAGTCTTGACCAGGTCTTGACTTTGCCACTTGCCTGAATGCACTAATATAGCAACCTGTGCGCTCATCCACGGTGCAAGCCCTCAACATCAACACCCGGTCTACAGACAGACGACGGCAGCCAAAGCATCGAAAATCGGTTTGAGGTGACGAAGCGGGCGCATGGAACTGCGCCCTTGCCTTGCCCCTCGATACGCAACTGTGACCGCCAAGGAGGGTTTTGAAGTCGGAAATCACGCTCCAGACTCCAAGCTTCGGGGCCCGATTTCTTGGTAGTTCTTGACTAAGACTAGCCACGGCAGGCTTCCTGCAGTTGCGTTGCTGTGGTTAGAGTCGGTTAGAGATGTATCGCGTGGCTTTGGAAGACTCCACGCCCAAGATTTTCCTTACATTGGTTGTATACATCTCGGGGCATTCTTTGGAACTTGTCTGAACATCGGAGGCTTGCTCCTGCCCACCGCCTCCGCGTGGCACCCGACCTGCGTGCTACAGAGGCGGCGGTTGCAGGGTGTAAGATATAGGACGTCACCAAAAGAGCCGTCGCCTGGTCCCAAGGCTTTAACCGCTGATTACAAGGTGAAGGTCGCAGATACAATGCCACGTTGCGCCCCTAGCATGATTGTTTCTGCGATCCTGCAGAGGCCTGGCGATGGTCTTTGCAGTTGGCCGCATGGAAGCAGTGCTGAGACAGAGGTTTGTATGTTTGAGGTCAGGTCAAATAAGCCGCTTCTGCAGCAGTGCTAGGTCGACCACCGCTGCTATACTGCAAGAAACGGTGCCTGTCACCACTGTACGATGCTATGCATGCCATGCCATTGCCTCCGTAACCAGGAGTGCTTCACAAACTGCGATTGACTGCAGAGGCACCATTTCTGCCGGTGGCTTCTGGTCGAAGTTGGCAAGCCGTTCTTGAGCTTTGGACCAGACACCAGGTTTTGCTGAATATGAGCTTGTGCGAAAGGGTCGAGCATGAGTAGACCAAGACAGCCATCCCCCACAGCTTCCCAAGGCCCGTTTTCGGAACCAGGGCTCTTGCGTCCTGGATGCTGAAGTTGGGTAAGACCAGTCATGATCAAACAGGAGTCCCAGCCTGTCACATCTCCAGTCCCACCATCCGCCCAGTCGAAGACCTGCAAGCAGCAAGCACTCAGGACGTGTACCACCGGTCTAGCTGCCCCCTGGCCAGAACTATCATTCTGGGAATTTGGACGTAGATTTGATGGCCCTAGAAAACTTGCAGACATCCAGGCCACGAGCGGAGAGGGGTGCTCGTCCGCGGATCGTGGGGGTACGGATGCAAGGAACATTTCCACGGCGCCATTGTCGGTGGCCGTCGTACTCGTACGGCTTGTGCTAGTGGCCTCCACGACTGTTCTCCCAGCCCGGAAGCCGCCTTATCCCGCAATCCCATCATCTGCCAGCTGAGGTTCTGTTTTGCGGAGAGCTGATCCGGAGTTCACCTGGAAGATGGCCCTGGAGCTGCTTCGCCAGTTGCCAGCAGTGCGAGCCGTGGTCGACGCCGGCTCCTGCAATGCATGAAAGCCATGTGTTCGACATTGCCTTCTTGCAGTAGGATCGGTCATGAAATGCTGTTTGTACTTACGCAGAGGCTTGAGCAGGCATGGACGCATGGATGAGCACAGAGTTCAGGGAGACCATCATTCAAGGCTTACTGGAACGGGACGAACGGGAAAGTTCGCACCGCGATGCCATCTACAGTGACTTGTTGCCCGCGGGAAAGCAAGCGGCAATATCGAGTTCGGACCTGCGACTTCGCATCGAATCGAGGGAACGTGTCGGTCGGTGCAAAGTGGAGCAGGCTCACAGAGCCAATATGTTATAGATTCTCTGTGTGTATTCTAAAGACAATGAAAACATTTCTGAAGCTTGCAATTCTTAATTCCTAATTCCCGGTAAATTGCAAAGTCGTGCGGGGCTGAGTGTCTCCTGGCCGTCTCGCCAGGTTGGGTTACAGGTGAAAACCTGTCACTGTCACGAAATTCCCGACGATGTTCGGCACTGCAGGTTCCATGGCAGTGCTCAGTTCACTGGAAAGAAGTCATTGGCAGAGTGCGCTACAGATGAGGACTCTCGCGACAAACATACATGGCAGCATAGCTATCCTTAGGGCATACCGTAGTATCTTTGGGAAGCAGCTTCCGGGGCAACCATGCTTTCAAGCTCATGGACGCACAACATCCAATGAGTTCATATTCGCATCTAACTGAACCTTGAAAGACCTTTTGCCGTCGCTTCGTCTTCGGTCCAGGACTGCCGAGGCTATCTCTGTGGAGCCCAGTGTCCCTTGGGCGGCCGCCCTTGGCCTGCTGGAGGGCCGCTCGGTCAGCGGTTTGCGGTGGTTGAAACCGCACAAACCCGATCACGATCCACCGATCCACCCACGCCCGTCGTTTTAAAGTGCATAATCGGACTGAGCGCTACAAGGGCTTCCCTCAGACAAATCTCAGCGAGGCACAGAAAGTTTCCTCCGGTCCAGCGTTGTGACACATTGACATGCGTAAAATTAACCCCGACAGCAGACACATGCAGACAGCTCAGCCCGTAGTGGTTCAGCATCTAGCGCGCAAGATGGCAAGCCCACCTGTATCGGAGAACTTCGACACGTTTGGCTTCGAAAATGGAGAGGTTCGCAACCAATTGGCAGAAACACTTCACTAAGAGCAGAGCAAGAATGACTGAATCTGCACAGGCTTCGCCAGCGGTTCACATCGTCATTTTGTTTCATGTAAGAGTTTTTTATCCCTTGATTAATGCCAATCTGAGGAATCCGGGCCGGAAGCTTACTCCACAACTTTGGCACTTCCTTTGTCATCATGTTTGGCTTCTCGTTAGATGATGCAATAGCCGCAGCCCACTTGCGCGCCTGGTTATGTGTATCCTGCTGCTTTTGGCACGTGCAGATGTAAACACATCGTCTTAGCCTTATCGCCGGCGATGCCTGTTGGGGAAGCATTCCCAGTAACAGCGCGTAGGGGGGGCAGTAACGGCGCAAAGGGGGGGTAGTAGTAACAGCGCGTACTTAGTACTTCTTTGTATGCCTTTCCCAGCTGTAGATGTACGCTACCCGGCCCTTCAGCGAAATTCTGTGTATGTCTTTTGTAGCTAGATGTGTGCGGCATGACCCTTCGCCGCCCTTCTGTGTATGCCTTTTGTAACTTTTGTAGCTAGATGTATGCGGCATGACCCTTCGCCGTCCTTCCCCAAATTTCAAAGGACAGCGGATGTGCGTGACAACACAGTAGAACCCACCCAAAACCACTGTCATTCGAAATTGCTGAACAGCGTACTCCTAGCAAAGAAAACTGCTCCTGCTACCATTTCTACTGCTACGACTACCATGTTCTGACAAGGAATAAACGCAAAGAATGCTGTCTTCGGTGGTTTGGCAGCGCCAAAAGCGCAGAATAAGCTTCCAGTGGTTTTATTGCAACCTACTTGAAACCCGCTCTGCTTCCTTTCCGAAACTTCAAACGACAGCGGATTTGGGTGAGAACACCGTAGAACCCACCCAAAGCTACCCCGTGAAAGTGCTGAACGACGTACTCCTACTATTGCCACAACTAACTACTACTACTACTACTACTACTACTACTACTACTACTACTACTACTACTACTACTACTACTACTACTACTACTACTACCATTACTACGTTCTGACAAGGAATAAATGCAAAGACTGCTGCTTTCGGTGGTTTGGCACCGCCAAAAGCGCAAAATATGCTTCCTTAGGTTTTGTCGGAAGGGCAGGGCAGGGCAGGAGAGAGCGGCAGCAGGGCAGGGCCCGCGCGAACCTGTTGGTGCATCTCGGAACATGACATGGTGATAGGTTTCCATCATTCCACTCCTCTTGATAGGCAATTAAGACTACAGTACTCAGTACTAGTTATCACTAATTCGGGATACCCTTGTCAAGGGGCCGCCTAAAGGCCCGGGGGGTTGGGAACCCAGGCTGCCGCAGCCACTGAAACATACAAGTAGGCTGTGCAGCTGGTGGACTTGAATATAAAAGGCAAAGGTGGGTGCCATATCTTCCTCAAGCGTTTTTGATGCTAGTGGGGTGATATTGGGGAGCGGAATACTCACGACATCATCTGGACTGCAGGGAAGTTCATTATGCTCAGTAGTCTCAGAAGATCGGCATGGTAGCTGCGACTATTTAGTCTGTTGAGTATGTAGCACTTGGGCTTCGTAGTGATAGCGATTCCCCGCCCCCATCTTGCATCCCGAACAGCTAAGTGGTGACCACCTCATCCAGCACCAAGATTCCTCAGGCGAGTAGGGCGCACCCGACGGAATACAGTCACTCGGCGAAACGCTTGGCTTCGTGTGTTGTCATTGTCCCAAATTTCTGCTGGGTAGAAGCACGGGGCGGGGCAAGCGGATGAGATTTTGGCTTTACCTTGGCATGAAACCATATCTTCGTTCTCCATGATTCCTGCCGCAGCTCAGACGACCCGAAGCCATGTTTGCTGAGTGCGAGTGTGTGAGTCGGTGCCTGTACCTGCGACCATGCTTTTACCAAATAAACATTGGAAAATCGAAGGGTCCACCTGAGACGCGGTAGACCGAGGTTTCAATGCTACCATAAGCGCGTGCGAGACTTTCGCCCACTGGCAGCTCGCCTCGCAATTGCCCCTTAGCTACATGAGTCTCAACAACTCTTTCAGCAAACCAAAGCCAGAAGTCTAGGGTTGGCCTGGGGTTTATCCATCTCCTTGTCTCACCCGTGTTACCCGCTGCAGAGCACATGCCAGCACTCACCGGGCAAGAACAGAACTGTGCTACACTGACACATGCAATGTGTACTTGTAGATCATCTATAGTCTATATATATACACACACCTACACATACATGCATACATACATGCACACGCATCAGCAGATATGCATGCAATTACACTTGGCTCGCTGCTTTATTTTCATGTGCACCTATCTCAATTGACCTCCTATTCTACGCTATGCTGTATGGTACAACATGTTGCCATGACATGCTATATCGCCATATACTGTGTCGTGCTGATTTAAAATATGTTTTCTTGAGTTATATGCTATACTCTTTTGTTGTGTCATATTATGCCATGTTCCGGTCCGTTGTGCGTGTTACGTCGTGTTGCATTTTTGCAATATACAAGTATGCTGTCATGGGTTGTGTTGCATCCGTTTTAGATATACTATGTTACTATGTGCTGTCGTATCACGTCCTGAACAATGATGTTTCTCTGTCACATAGAGCTTGATATGGCAGTCTGCTGTAATGCTGCGCACTATGTTACATCATATCATAGTGCGCTGCATTGTCTTACCGTAAATTTTGTCAGATGGCACTCTCTTATACCGCACTGTCGTGCATTCGAGGACAGTCTATCAAAAATGTGTTTCATCATGTTACGTTATATACACTAAATTAGTTTCATGATAATGCAGTATGGACAATTGCATGGCAGTATAGTGCATCCTATTACTTGGTATTACATTCGGTTCGATTATGTTAGATTAACGTACTTTACTATATTTATGTGTGTTGTACATACCTATGTGTGCTTGCATAACATGCACATATATGCACAGCTGTGCCCATTTGATCAAAGTCGCGATTGACAAATGTCATCCCATTCTGCACATGTCCATCTCCGACCTGCTGTCTCTGTAAGGTTAGCGAGGATGCCCATACTTGTGGTTACACCTGGAACCATCAGCCTCTCAGCTGCGAGCCATTTTGCCCTAAGGTGAGCTGTGTTTGGGCTGCTGTGCGGCCGCAATCGGCATGCGTTTTGGTTTTTGAGGGCGGCTTTGGCTTGGTTCGACAGCTGAAGGCTTCAATGCGGCCATCTCAGTCTGCGAGAAAGCATGGCGCTGGGAGTTCCTGGTCCGCATTAGCGGTCTCCAGCGCTCCTAAAGTCCCTGGAGTTTCAGGCTCAGGAAGTCACCGGGTGTTCGTGTCGACGCAACAAACCTTTCCCACAGTTCATTACGAGAACCCAAGCCACAGACTTGACTCTACACCCCCGAAAACTGAATGCGTTCCTGTTGAGGGTTTGCGCTTTCATGCGGACAGCGGAAAAGAGAGAGAGAGAGAGAGAGAGAGAGAGAGAGAGAGGGAGAGGGAGAGAGAGAGAGAGAGAGAGAGAGAGAGAGAGAGAGAGAGAGAGAGAGAGCCCACACGCTGAGCAAGCAAGAGAGAGAGAGAGAGAGAGAGTGGGGGAACACGTGACTGCCTTACCTCTGTCACCCTGACGCCATCCTTCAGTACCGTCTTTTATACACTCTGCAATATTAGGCCCTTTTACAGCAGGGGGACAGACCAAGGCCGGCACCCAAAACAACTAGGCCTCCCGAAAAACCTTGCCAAATGCTGCTGCCATACACCTTGCTTCTACTTCACTCGCAAGCTGTTGCTTTGTCTTCGCACCAATAATATGAGTACAGATGATTGGATCCGACTGCATTTCTGTTGTGTACGTATCCGATTAGGTACCTGGTCCCCTATTGCATTTTCTCTGTCTACGAAAGTCGTGATCCGATCTTGCACCACGATAATCCTCAGCGCAACCTTTGGACAGAACCCCGAACGATCTTCTATAGTCACTTTTCATGCTATGCGGTTGTGCTTGTATGGCATGTAACTGAAACCTTTGGGGGAAGCTGTCCACCATCTCGCTGAGCGGGCTACACACATTCTCCTTGGCCTTGAACAACATATGTAGGGTATATGGAAGTAATCACTCCGGGTGTATCTTCCTCCTCGCAGTTGTGACTGAGTATACTTGTTGCATTTCTGTGCACTGTTTTTCCATACGGGGGAAGATTACCAAAAGGGAGAGTGATTGCCCGGCTCTTATTCATTTGATCCTGTATGTCAGTGGTTGTCAAGCTATCTTGCCATATGAAGCCAGGAGAACTGTGATGTGTTTCAAGTTATGGTAGGCACGAGGGGGAACTTTGTAAGAACTCAGGTATCGCTTGTAAGGCCCGTAGGGAAAGCTGTGCCATTGTTTCTCGCAATACAAACCCTTTGTCTGCCATAAAACGAAAGTGCACTTTAGGTTGATGCACCGTCAATACAATCCCCAGAAATACCTTTTGTGTGGAAATCTATGTTCTTACCTTATATATGATCCGGGGATTCGGCATGTGCTGTGTGTCTTGAATGAACAGGGGACATTGTAAACCGACATCGTATACTTTATGGCTATAGCCTTTTACAATGTTCACTGTTCTTTTTCACCCCCCGTGTCCGTCAACACGACGGGTGGGCATGCTGCCCGGGGGCGTTGACCCGTCCCCGTGCCCGGGAGAGAGAGAGAGAGAGAGAGAGAGAGAGAGAGAGAGTACTACCTTATTCCAACCAGGGGAATGATGATATTTTCACGCCTCTCCAAAAACCCCATAACACATGGGGGGCCAATATGGCCGGGGGGCCTCAACAGCCCCTTACGCCCTGCGGAAGAAGAGAGTAGTTGTATTTCAGCAAAAAAAAACTGCGAACCCCGGAAACGATTCATAGTCCAATATTCTGCTTCTGCGTTTCGGGGTGACAGTTATAGTCTTACACTCCCTCAAAGCCTCATCACATATGGGGGGGCCATGAGCCCGGGGGTTTGAACGCCCCTCATGCCCCGCAGAAGAAGAGAGAGAGAGAGAGAGAGAGAGAGAGAGAGAGAGCGAGAGAGACAGAGCTGAACGACGCACAAACACAAGATAATATGTGGAGTCGTTTGAAGGGGCGCCGGTGGCGATGTAGGACTCAGACCCGGGACTGAAAGTCAGATGCTCTTCCGGTCTGCCAAGCAGGCACGCTTTACACATGCTCCTGCAAATGGAGGAGATGCAGGCAATTGCAGTTTGGGTTCGAATCTTTGCTTGTGCTGCCTCTCAGACAACAAGACTCTGTTCTCTTCGGCACAACTGGAGAGGCGGTTCGCGATGTGATTACCTACAGCGCCGCCATCAGCCACTAGTTTGAGCTGGGCTTGGATGCGGGTTTCAATCATGTGTTGCTGCGACTGTCACGCCAGTGATAAGCCATTAACACGTCACTCCTTCCAGGTCCGCTTCTCTGCCGCAGGTCTGCATGTTTGTCGAAGAAGCATCCAAGATGGAGCAATAGAACACAAGGACGCTGAACATAGACATACTGTATAAGAAGTCACGACAGGAGGGCGGAACATGCTACCCTGGAACTGCTGAGACACGCTGCGTCGAATGCAAGGTGCCTGCGCGCAGGGCGCGGAATGGCGCCCTTCGCTGGCTCTGCTCGCAGAGCCGGGGCCTCAGGCCTCACAGACGTGGAGAAACGATTTGCTCTTTGGTTTCTAGCGGAGAAAAAAGATTTCGCTTTCTTGCGGGCCTTTCAAACCCGTGCCTCTCAGGATGGAACGTCAGGAAGTGATGCCAACAGCTTCTCGGCGAAGATTTGGGCACAAGCTCACCGTTACTCTCGAAGAGCAGGTGAGACTTCATCCCTGGGCCTTCCCCAATGATGACTTCGTGAGCCCGGGTACTTGTAAGGGCTGCTTCGCACAGCCTGTTCTTTTTTGCTGTGTTTGAAATCTTGTCTCAAGACCAGAGCCAGACCAGGTGTTCACACACAATGCCTTGATTACCGTTTGCGGCCGTGCGGGACAGTGGGAGCTGGCGCTCTGGTTTTTGCACAGGCTGGCCGCTGCATGGTTGGGCTCGTTCATGGTGCTGGGACGCTTTGACGTCCGGGGATTTCTCACGTAGCACGATGAGCCTCAAGCCGCAGCTTCAGAGTTCCATGCTCTCTGCACTGGGCTTCTGCGGCTTCTTCAAATCAAAAAGGTACCGAACTCGGACATGACAGAGCAACTCACGACAGCATAGAAAAATGCAACAAACATACATGTTTGAGGCAGCCGGCAGGGACATTGGGAAAGCAAGGTCTTGAAATGATACTGCAGACAATTTTCATGTTCTGTCGTCATGCTGGATGAACCATCTGACGCTTAACTTCGGATCAACAGTTCGGAGCAAAGTATGGAGCAACCGCATGTCCCCTACTTGGCGACTTGGACTTGTGTTCAGCATATCGGCTAGAGCTTGCAGCAAAACCTGCAACGGTCAAGTTCTTCTACGATGATGCATATCAGCATATCATGCTTGACTATGTTGCTGAACGGTAGTGTGGGGACCAGACGAGACGAGACTCCTTGGTCCTTGAGTACGACACTTCTTTATCATTTAGCAGCCAGCACCTTGGCGACAACACAAATGAACAAATCGATGTCGCTCGTTCTCAGCTTCGGCAACTGCTCCGCACAGGCAGCTGCTGGACCACATGCGGCCGGAGGCGCCTGACTAGTATAGCCCGAATTCACCGAGCCCCCATCGGCCAGTGGGACCCATTGGCTACAAAGCGTGGTGACTTGACAAGCATCTGCCTGCCACCAAAGCATCCGGGTGATTGCATGATGGAGAAGTTCTCGAATTTCCGAACTTGCAATCAGCATGATCCCCTTTGTGCCTTTGGGATCTTAGATTCGAAAGGATTCCTGGATTTGGCACTGGAGACCCTGGGATCGACCATGAACAACCGACAGCGAGTCGCGACAATTCCAACACTTCCATCTTGCAACAATTCGGGAAGTTCTCCGAGGCTGAGAGCAGGTCAGGATCGAACTTTGGTTTTTTCGGCCAAACTCCACCAAGGCAACGGGTTTAGGAACAGAAAGCCGATTGTCGCGGTTCAGGTCATCAGCTACAATGCTGCCATCAGCGCCTGTCAGACACCCGTTTGGACCGCAATTATTTCCAGTGTTGGCAGAGGCATCGGTAGCAAGCCTGATTCCTGAAAGTCGAGACACTGCTTCGCACAAAACTTTGTGCAGGTGTCTCTCAAATATGACAGTGCGTGCACGAATCTTCTCCAAAGAGACTTTTCACGTCTCACTGGCAGTGTGCAAGCAAGGAAGGCGGCCGAATGGGCGAAAGGGCTGCAGCTTCTGGCGCGTGGCTGGGCCGACTTCCCCCTCAAGCACAAGTCAGTATCCAGAATCTTTGAACATACGTACCTCCCAAAGATCTAATATATACTGAACCCTGAAGCACTGGACATAGCGCAGTCCTGAGCGTGAACCTGACTTTCAACACCTTTTGCTTGGCCGTCACAAGGAACGTACACGTGCTTAGATCTCAACCCTCTAAGACTCTAAGCGAAGATTCATGGCCGCTCACCGTGTTGAGCGCGCACCTGCACCTTGTCAGTTTACAAGACTCGTACGACTGAGCAATGAGCTTGGTGCACCGCAGCATCACATCTCGAGATGGAAATGCTGTGAATTTCTAGAGATTTGCGTTGGAATGCAAAGGACGGTGGAACATAAATCAAAACGACGACTAAGAACCGAGATGTGACGCTGCTTGCAGTACCGAAATCTTCAGCGTCGTTTGGGTTCACCTGCCATGAAATCTCAAGACAGTGCTGAGTTCCCAAACCATCGATGCCCCCGGAATGATTCGTCGATGCCCTTTGGCCCAGGCATGCCTGCCCACGAGCTGGAGCCGAACGAGATAAGTTCCTGGAAGCATATTCTTAGAGCAAATTCGCCAATTTGCCAACGGAATAGTTTAGGTTTTCTTTACTGGTAGCAGTGCAAGACACGTGGGGGGGGCTCCGGCCTGCTGTCCGGTTGCACATCCGTGCTGATGACGACTCGGGTTTGGGAATTCCTCCGCCAGACTTTCTGTCCCCGGCCCTGGCGGCCTGGCGGAGGCTTCACTGCAGCCGTCAGTGCCTGCGAGCAAGCCTGCCGAGATGGAGCAGTGTCGTCGTCCGGGAGTGAGCCGTGAACCCGGCCATCATTGCACCTTGGACGTGGCGGGCTGCTTCATTTGCTTCCATATCCCATGTTTTGACATGGGCCACTCAACCTCAACAGCAGGAACAGTCGCTGACTTTCCAATGTAGACAAAGACGCCCGGATCTTGAACCCACACGATCCAATTGGCATGGCTTTCCTCACTGGAGTCATGCTTGGATTCTGTGGAGCCTTGCCTGCCTTGTGCGTGTTGCGAGCGTCGAATATGCCCAGGGATTTACAATTTTGTTGAGGCCAGGCTGGCATTATCTGTCAATATGATTCAGGTGTTATGTTGCATCTTGCTTGAATGTTGAGGCCATTGCGATGAGACATTCATCGACCTCGGAGCCTTTTCGACAAGGCCGTCTGGTACCAGTACTTCGTCGCCCCATGCCCGAACCTTGGCGCTTTGTGGATGCAAGAGCTTGAAAGTAACCTGGAGTTCAGTGAGGCTTAACCTGACTTACTTGTGACATCAGTCATCCGAATCCGAACGACCCGCCAGTCACAGTCACGGATCAGCCGCTGATCTTGCGTAACCTCTCGCAAATTCTGTTGCAACATCGGTTTCATACATGGCTTGACCTTGACTTTCTCTGCATCTCGCAGGCTCAAAGTAGTCGACTTTAGTCAACGGAGTCAACTGCCGTTCGCAGCCAAAAAGCCGACGGACGACCTCTCACGCAATGGCGGCCAGGTCTGTCACGCGAATGCACGTTGAGGCCCGGCTTGCAGATCCTCTCTCGGGCTTCAGAAATCGGATAGGCGTTCGCGATGCTTGCGGGAAGCTTGAACCCCTTGGAGTTCGACTCTTCAGATTCCCGGAAGGGACAGTTCCAGATTTCGAAAGACTTGAAAACCACTCGCAATGCCGCATACAGCCTTTAAAAGTCGAGACAAGAAAGAGCTTGAATGCCATATGGCTGCATGAGCCTTTCGCGGGTTTAAGGTTTGAAACGGTTGGGTATGTTTTGTCCGACTGTTTGGCATCAAACCGGTTGTTTGCAAGCGCATGCCCCGAATTGCCACACTGACGACTTCACAGCCTAATTAGCCAAGCTTTACTGGAAAGTTGCAGACCCCAGGAACAACCCTGCATCGAGGAGCCTTCGAAGGATTGTGGCTGCTTCCAGCAACGCCGACAAGGCCCAGAGGACACCTGGATGCACGTCGGCCAAGGCCGGGGTACCAGCAGAGACTGTTGCGCAAAGAGCACAAAAGAGACAAATCGAACATAGAGCCAGAAGGAGCACAGAAGCCACTGAATAAACTGAAAACGAGGCAACAACTCAAGAGCATCCAAACCAGACTTTGCATCAAGAATCCTTTCCCACAAGTATTCCAACAACCAGCCAGTCAACGAATGAACCTCACACGACCATGGCACGTTTGCTGTCACAGGCCAGCGCACAAACACAAACACACATGCAGCCAAAACGAAACTGCTGCCGTGGTTCAGTTTTTTTGCAGCTTGGTGCGCTGTGTACTCAGCTACGACGCTGCAGTCATACAGTTGACACAGTTCGGCACGGGATACGATGGACTCCCTCCAGACGTTCGCAAGCGCAATTGGAGGTTTAGGAAACATGGGAGTGGGTAGCACCTCAGACGGGCTGTCTGTTTTTCCTACAAGCTTGCGATGGAGCGAGTGCGCAGTATCGCCGGGGGAGTGAGTGCATAATATCGTACTGACCCAGCTATCTGCTGATATCTGCTGTCATGTTGCTGTAGCTTTTGGTCCGCCTGTCAGAGACGTGGTTCTCACGAGGCAAGGGCTCCTACAACAAGGTGGAAGAGGTTCAGTATGTGGGCTCGGGCCAAGGCAGCTATGTGCAGGAGCTTGTCACGACCAGCGACGGAATTCGCCTGCGGCCGGCTTGTGTAGCTTGCTCCGCGCTGCTGTTGTTGATCCTCTTGTTCACGATCGGTTTCTATTTTGTCGCGGTACATCGTCATCCCGGTCCATTATCAGAAGGCCTTCATGATGCAACACATGTAGTTTATGATTGCTCAAGTGGGGCTGACCACCATCTCTGGTCACCGGAGCAAAAGGCTTATTGCTGCTACCATGCCGGTCGCGGATGCGGGCACCCGGCGGAACACTACGATTGCGATGACGGGTTCGATCACTGGAAAACTGAATGGCCCCCAGATCAACAACGATACTGTTGCTATGCGCACAGAAGAGCTTGCAAGGCCAAGGTTGTTGAGGCTAGGTTCTGCAACGCGTGGTAATGCTTATGTCATGTATTTGCGAAATTCCGATCATGTAACCTTCCTGTGTTTTCCGTTCCGGATTTTGGCAACGCAGGACATCAAATACGTGCCAGTCTACCACACCAGGACGGTGAACAAGTACATTCGCCAACCGCCTCGTTACATATACAAGACTCGCTACAAAACGATCACCAAAAAGAAATACGTTCCTGTACCAGTACCCACGCCCAGCAAACCAACAGTGATTGTCAAGCACGTGGTGGACCATGTGCCTTTTCCTGTGAATGTCGAGCATGTTGCGAAAGATGCAACAGCTGCGGACAATGACGTCGGGCACGTGGTGCAATATACACCGGCGTCTCGGCCGTCTCATCGCACACAGTCTCCATTTCCATATGATTGTGAGGCAGGCCACTTCACCAAGCAGGGCTGGTCGCGGTCCAAAAAGCAGTGGTGCTGCTTTCATTTTCAGAAAGGTTGCCACCTTCTTCAAAGTTGCGAAGCTCCATGCATCTTGCCAGGGCAAGCTGGTGGTGAAGGCACCTGCGCCAGTACCACACGCTGGGCCTCCGCGAACATGTTCGCGGGACGAAATGATGCGTGCCAACTGGCGTTTCATCAGGTTGCAATGAACTGCCACCTGTGCCATAGTTGCCAAATTCACAGCACAGGTTGTGACCTCCAAGAAGGATTTAAGATTCCTCATCACGTGCACCGGATCCACCTGCTCCATGTGCCCAGCAAGGGCCGGACCAGTAAGAACGATGCAAGCCAGGAGCTTCAGGGGACAAGGCCCCACGAGGTGCATGAGCATTTTTCGCATGCTCTCTCGCATGCTGCCTTTCGCTGTGACACGACGGACGGGTCGACATGGCGCCTTTACAGCAGTGAGAAGCCACTAAACTCACTAAACATTGTTTTTAAACGTCTCGGTCAAGTTATGCAGGTTATCATGAAAATCTCAAATGACACGGATGTGCATTGTTCGCTGCTTTCTTGCAGGTCTGCGGCTGAGGCCCTATGGTGTTGCAGCCACCGTGGGATGGGCTGTGCTGACTCCGAAAAGTGAAATTACATGTTTCCGTTGCTCCGCCGCGCTGTCGTTCTCCACACAGCCCTCAGCTCGTTTCTACGAGCTGACAATGGCATTTCAGGGTTGGAAGGCATCCGATGTCTCGACTCGCTGGTGGTGCGAACCGACTTCCTGGTGAGAACCACAAGGTTGTATTTTTTGCATTGAATTCGCTTGCAACGACCAGTCAGCTGCTGCTGCGTAAACAACTGTCAATGGCACAAGTAAGAAGTGAAAGTCACCCTCAGCTATAGCCGGTGTCGTTTTCGGACTTGACTACACAAGCACGCTTGTCTCCAGCCTTAAAAAAAAGGCCGGAGCACCTTCAAATCCATAAGGCCGGCCATCACAGGCCGCACCTTGGCCAGATGCAATGGAGACAGTGTGCTCGTTGACAAAAAGCTGAAGCTGTGGCTCGTCATGTCTAGGTAGTTCAGTCCATCGGCGGAAAAGTGGGTCGAGCTGATGCATCGATGGGTCTGCACCTAAATGAGTTGAAAGTTGAAAGATTGATGCAGACATTGAATCTATGCCATGCAGAGTTCAATCAATATCCCGGCCTCCCGAGCGGCTGCGAAGACACACCTAGTCTACCAGCGAGGCTAGCACCCCTTAAGTACTGAACAATGCGCTCAATTATTATAGGGCATATTCCTTCATTAAGAGGGCACGGACTTTCTGGGAAAGAGTGAACGGTTAACATGATTTTTCGCAGCCACTGCTTCTTCTGTTTCACTCGAATTCACTCGGTGGGTGCTCAAGCACTTCTTGGGGGTTGCATGCTCAGGGCCCCGGCAGAGGAAGCCGCTAGCAAGCTACGTACAAGTTGATGCGGCAAACCATGCATCGTTAGGCGAAGCTGAGACACCTGAATCACTGAAGCTTTGGCCATTTCACCGACCCAAGGCCCGCCGGCCCGCAAGATGGAAGGCCGATCCCTCGAGGCGCGAATGCCACTGTGCCGGTGCTGCACGGAGAGCCTCAGTCTTGGCAGTCGAGGTGTGACTTGACTAAGTAGGTTGCAGTATCCAACCTCCTTGTAGCCCATTGCCGTGTTCACTCGACTTGCTTAGCATGTGCAGTTTTCGTGCGGTTGTACGCGGACGTGCGGCTACCTCGATCGTCAGTAATTTGGTGTGAGGCGGGCAGCGCTGCACGCGTGACTACAAGTGCCTGGGCTTGGTCAGGGTTTCCGCACCAGCAGTCGGTCAGTCCGTCCTTCAGTCAGTCAGTCCGTGGCTCACTAAATGCCGCTCGATTCACAGCTGACCACGCACAGTAGCTGCCTCAGCGGAAGGAACAGGAGGCCGATGATCCCAAAAAGATGCACACGGCATGTCTTGATGCTTCTGGTCGTTTCCTCAATTCTGTAGCTCCGAGATGCTTTGACTTGTCAGTATTAATGCTTTGGACAGTCAGGAGACGGCGATAGAGCTACCAACCGAAGGGAGCGCAACAAGCAGAATCTTGGTTTGGGAAGTTTGCGCGGGCTGTTCTTTGTCAGTCTCAGTTTGTGGAGGCTACTTTGTCAATAATTGTCGTCTTTATTTGTGAGGGTTCTAAGACTCTAAAGCAAGGCAGGCAAGGCAAGAAAGAGCGGCACAAAGCATTTTCCTCGGCGCCACGTCTGGCCTCCCCCGCCTGCAGGCTTCTGGTTGCGGATGTCTTATTATAGTCACCACAGACCTGCCTCTCCCGGA